AGGATTAAATTGCCTCAAAGGGAGCTGGGAAATTGTTTCGGGGCCAAGTCCAAGGTAATGGAATTGAGAGTAAGATGGCCTGTGGCTCTCACAGCGCAGCGCTCTGCTGGTGGGGAGCGTGTTGGGGGAGGAGGAGGAAAAGGGCAAGAAGGTGAAACTAAATAGACGGAAACATTCCTGGCTTGCCAGGCGGCGGAAATTTCTGTTTGCCTGTGTGGTGGGTCTGCCCCTGACCTGGGTTTTCCTGAGGGCACATCTTTTTTTGATTGGGCTGTATTTTAAGAATGTGTCAATTATGAAGAAGTAGAGCCCGTGCCAATATTGCCCTTCCAATTTTGAAAAGGGGAGATAGTGAGGTATTAAAAGGAAACATAGTATGACGTTCTATTTAAATAATAAAATCCCCATATAAACTTTTCATTTTGTTCCTCACGTGGTTTCACGTGAATGGTGTCTACTCCAAGGAGGAAATTTGGTACGTCTGATAGTCCCAGATAAGCCGTCTGGAAAAGGAGCTTCGTTTACCCTTCTTATTCCATATGGCTGCTCCCTATTAATTTAAAGAAGGAGCGAAGGGAGTCTCCAACCCCGCCCCTCTACAAAAGTCATGAACTTCTGTGGGTGAGCTTTCCTATTCAGGGACAGGCAAAATCCAAGAGCTCGTTAATGGGGCTCTTTTCTTTCACCTTTAGGATTTCCCAGAGATCTCGCTCAGGCAAGTTGCACGGTATCTTTACACCTGACGAAGAATAAATCCATTCTATCAAAATATTTTTTTCTACCAATTCAAAGTCACGTGCCCATCAATCTTATGTAATCCTCCTCTCAGTGACTGGTAAATATTGCCACTGCAGATTTTAAGAGTAATAACCAGGGCTTAATTTTATAGACGGCTTAACTCCATGCCACCAGCCAAGCTCAGGCTGGATTTAGGTTCGGTTGTGAGACGTGAATGCTGCGGATGTCAGGCCACAAAGCAAAGGGAGATCACATGTTGGAAAGTGACATCTGTGGTGCTGCAGGCAGACTGCTTGGGGCTGACAGGACAAACCAAGCATCTTGAGCATGAAAACGGGAAAAGCACGACTGGGAAACAGTAAATTTGGGCGAACTCTCCTTGTCACGGGTGGAGAGGCAGTTGTGTGTGTCCCCCACCATCATTTGGCTTCCTCACTATGGGACTGGGAATTACGGCTCAGAGCAGGAAAAAGGCCTCTCACAGAGGAAAGACATCAGGCGACTGAGGGTGGAATTACGTATTAATCCTGTTTCCTAAAATGCAAGTTACTCCAATCTGAGGAAGCTAGTATTCTGCTAAGAAAACTTGCACCTTGGATGTTCGTTTCAGAATTTTCTGTGTATGAGAAGTCCGTTTTGGAAATGGAGTCAATGTGGTCCCAAATGGAAGAATGCGGATTCTTGTAAAATGTGGAGGGAGGCAAAGATGGGCAGTGGATCTCTGAGGTCTCTGAGAGGAGGGGACACAGGGAGAGGAAGCCTGAGTCCTGTTTTAAATCTCGAGTCCTTGCTATGCCACGGAACCTGCCCGACATCCCAACATTTATATTACTGCAACCTGGGAGGAACTTGGGCTTCTGAATCCGTAATTAGTGGTTTAGGATTTATTTTCTTAGTTTAAGAAAATGCTGTGGCCATGGGAATGACTGCTTCGTTGTTAACTCTGAGCCCTAACATATCAAAAGTTAAATTCAAACGCAGAATTCTGCTTTAATAATCCCATGGTTCAGAAAGGGTACCAACATCCAAATGGTAACAAGCACAACTTTAACATGCCCCGTCTATGAAAAGCAAATGTTAAGTTTTAGGCAGGAGCTGCATATTAGAATCATGCTTTAGTTGCTTTTCCATTCATCTTTCCTGCACAGAACATATGTTCTGCATTCCAACTTCAAGTGCTTTTTGAGGCTGCACGAGTCGGTTAGCTATTTGGTTCATGGTTGCACCAATTGCATTTCCATTAGTGGTAAGTACGGAAGGCATGCAGTTTAGGCTAGTAATTAATGTATTCCTATGAATACAAGACAACTTACTCTGCGTCATCAGACACAGGAGTTCTCGGACCGTATCTATAAGACCAAATACAAAATTAGAGGATTGAAAAGACAAGGTGAACGCTGTAACCAAGCTGAAAAGAAAAACTGCTGGTGAAGTGTTAAGTGTGCCAAACGTTTTTTCCCCCTGGTTATAATGGAAGAAAAGTGTCATTATACAATTAATGATGTTCATTAACTTCTGCAAATGAAAGGAGCATCTTGACAGTTCTAAAGAATGCAAAATGTGTATTCAAACACAGAGGAGAAATGAAAGGAATCCCCACGCTACCCACACAAAAACAAATCTGTTCACTATAAACACAAAAGGCTTAGGTGCAACCCACAATGTTTAGAGAAGGCAGCTTTTAAACACTCAAACCTGCATTAGGGTTGCTCACAAACAGTTAAGCTGTTCATGCCTTATGTTCAGCCCTAGTGAGCTGTAATGGACACCCATCATAGAAGCATGCGCTTACTGGCCCTGTCCCTGACGTGTTAATGCATTTGCACAAATGACATCAAAGAGCCTTTCTGCAGTTTTCTGAAAGCAAACCAGGACTCCAACCAGAACCCCAATCAGTGCCTTCTGCATGCATTTGACAAAAACCACAATTCCTAGAAAACGGGCAGCCTTAATCCAAACCAGACTTGGATATTCCATCACTTGAAACACCAAAGTGTTTTTTACAATCTTTGATAGTCTTCTGATTATTTTGATCTACAAAGCGGTACCCTCTGCGATATAGACACTTTAAGTTTTAATGTGTCTGATAAAGGGAAAGGTCAAGTTAGAAAACAAAATTAGAACTTCAGAAGGGCATATTTTAAGCACGTTTTTAAGATGCAGCTCCCACCAGGGCTGTCTCCTCTGCAAAGAGGATTTTAAGAGAAGGTTCTTTCTTATGCTCTGAAAGGCTGTTCCTCTCTGCATTCTGATGGTGGATAAAGAGTTATTTAAGTAAAGAAAAACTTCCTGCTTTCAGTTTCCAATAAATTCAATTGTGGGGTTTTCAGCAAAAATTACCAGATCCCATGCTTTAGTTTCATAACAGTTTACTACAGGGTAAAAAGTAATTTCTAAAGACCTCTTCCTATAATCTTAGAGAAAGCACCCCAGAATACATGGGTATGCACACACAAACACCCTTCTCTCTTATGCTTTTATCACTCTTGAAGTTTTCATTTAATGACAATTATTTTCTTCATAGTGAAGGCAACCACACCAACGCAAAGCCCAAAGTATCTGTTGTCCCGGCAAAAAGCAAGACAGGGCAAGGGTTTGTGGATGTTTCTCTTCTGGTAGTGTGATTCTTTTCCCATTTCTCCAGGGGGTAGTTTTAAAAGGTGCTAAAATCTAACCTAATACACTTAGTTTTCCAAAAACACCACGACACTGAAGCAGATGACCGGTGGATTTCTGCACATCGAGAGAATGAATAAGCGGCGTTAATTCTGAAGACTGGGTAAATGTTTCCCATGGAATTAATAGGCCTGTTGCAATAGACTTATTCAAATACTAGAGGCCCAGCACATGAAATCGCACAGGTAGGGTCCCTAGGCCTCGCCTGTGATCAGGGCCACCTTCTGTCCTCTCGCCAGTCCCCAGTCCTGCCCCGCCACCATCCCCCGGTTGGCTGTGGTTCTCCGATCGCAGAATGGCTCTGGTTTCCAAGAGCCCGTGGGCTGCAGGGAGAGACAAAAAGGTCGGCCATTCTGCCCGCTTGCCAGTCCTGCCCCGCCACCACTCACTTCAGTTTGCCATGGTTCCCTGTTCGCCATGCGCGATCAGTATGCTGTGATCAGAGCCTGCAGGCCAAGGGGAGGGACTAAGACAGTGATGGCGAACCTCTTGAGCTCAGAGTGTCAGCATTTTGAAAAACCCTAACTTAACTCTGGTGCCATGTCACATGTAGAATTTTTTTTGATATTTGCAACCATAGTAAAACAAAGACTTATATTTTTGATATTTATTTTATATATTTAAATGCCACTTAACAAAGAAAAATCAACCAAAAAAATGAGTTCGCGTGTCACCTCCGACATGCGTGTCATAGGTTCGCCATTCCTTCCGCTCACCAGTCCTGCCTGCCACCGCCACTCACTTTAGTTCACAGTGGTTCTTCATTTGTCATGCTGTGATCGGACCCTGCAGGCCATGAGGGGAGGGACTGAGAGGTGGTCAATGCACCTCACAGTGACTGGTCGAGTGGTCGTTCTGCTCGTTATGCTTATGATCACTGGCCTTTTATTATATAGGACTAGAGGCCCGTTGCACGAAGAGATTCGTGCAATAGGCCTTTCCTTCCCCTGGCTGCCGGCACCAGTTTTCCTCCAGCACCCAGGACCCAGGCCTTCGCTGCTCTGGCTAGAGTCTTCAGTCTTTGCTCCACTGCTTTGCGCCTACGTATGCAAATTAACTTCCATCTTTGTTGGGTTAATTTGCATACTCTCCTGATTGGCTGGTGAGCACAGTGGAGAGCACATGTCAATTTACATGTTTGTCTATTATTAGGTAAGATAGTGTTTTCTCAATTATATATGGGGAAGAGCTGAGAATGTATTCCTAACAGATGGTTATTCTAGAAATAACCAATAATAGTTGGTTATGCATTTTTGTGTCTCTATTTGAATGTTTCTGTTAATGTTTGATTGAAGTATAACATGCATACAGAAAGTACACATACCGTACCCATACCACACACCTCAATGATTTTTCACAAACTGAGCATACCCGAAACACTAGTGTTGAATGTCTTGTGAATGGGCCCATACAGTATGCACTCCTTTGAGTTTGGCTTCTTTAGCATATTTTACTAGAGGTTCAGCTATGTGGTTGCCACAGGATATATTTGAATTTAAATGGCTTCTACACAAAACACAGCATTTCATGACATCTCTGCCCACAAATGCCCATGTACACTAAAATGTAAGATCCGTAAGGGCAGGGGTTTTTCTCTTGGGGTTCCCTGAGGAGTGACCAGACTAGGCCTCCGATAAGTGCTTGTTGACTATGTATTGGATGGTCTGGAAATTGAAAAGAATATCATAAGTCTCCGAAGATAAACTTATTTTTTTCCTTTACTATCCACTGTGGATTTAAGGAATTTCCTCTTAGACTAATTTATCAGCTTTAGAGCACATCGATTTAAGCAGAACTGCCTTTGCTATTAAGCAGAAGATAATTAGAGCTTGGGCTCGAAATGGCTTTCCTAGTTGTCCTATGGGAAATGTAAATGTAAACGCAGGTTAAAAAATAATAAAGAGATTTTTTAAAATGCAAAGTAGGTGAGTCAACAGGCTATGAGGTACAAAATTGGCCCGATAAATCACAGTTGGTATAAGCATCCTAAAAAAAAAAAAAAAAAGCAACTAATAAAGTTTCATTGTGAGGGTTGGGGTACTTAGAAAGATAAATGAAATATTCTATGCACCTATTGATTGCATTTGTGTAACTTTCAAAATTAATAAAGCCCTTCAGAATTAATAATTGGCAGTTATATATTTCCATATTGTGAACTAACACACAATTGAAGTGAGAGGGGAAAATGGGTTGCTGCTCATTTAAGATTATCCCCCAGCACCCAGCACAGTGTAGTTTACAGACAGCAATTACTCAATAAATGTGCTGTAAGGACAATGAATTCCCAGGGGAATTTGTCAGACTCTGGTGCATTGGTGCTGGAGTGGACGGGGGCTCTCCACTGGGAAAGAGCTGGATTTGAATCTTGGATCTGTAATTACCAGCTGTGCAGACATGGGGTCAGGTTCCTCACTGCAGGATGCAGATGAAAATTCTTACTTTCAAAGGTTACGCGAGTAGTAAATGGGAAAGTACCTAGAATGCCGGCAGCTGTAGACCTCCCTCCCTTCCTTTCATCTGACTTGCTTTCCAGTAGCCCACGGACCTAGGGCCAGCCTATGACAGGGCACCTACAAAGTGAGTGATTGGTGGACCAGTCTTTACCAGCCCTAACCATTCGACATCCAAGTGAAAGCCACTCACTTACCTTCCCTCTACATCAGGCATGGAGCTAACATCCATTCAGTCTACCTGTGAATTCTCAGAAGGTGAGCTAGAGCAGTGATGGTGAACCTATGACACGCGTGTCAGAGGTGACACGCAAACTCATTTTTTTGGTTGATTTTTCTTTGTTAAATGGCATTTAAATATATAAAATAAATATCAAAAATATAAGTCTTTGCTTTACTATGGCTGCAAATATCAAAAAATTTCTATATGCGACACGGCACCAGAGTTAAGTTAGGGTTTTTCAAAATGGTGACACACTAAGCTCAAAAGGTTCGCCATCACTGTTATAGAGGCTTGTATAATAAACACATAAAATAAAATAAGGATTAATTAAATTTTTATT